TTATGTCACACTTTGTGTTGAGCTTGATGGTAAATTCAAACATTAAGTGTTTCAATACTACTGAAGTATTTAAGGAATCAGAATGGCGACTCACACCACAGGTTTTCCCATTTAATGTTACCCAAAGACAGGGAAAGAAATGTTAAATAGTTAAGTCTAGTTTAAAATTGATTCACAACAGATTAGAGCTGAAACATTGATTGGTGATTAATCGATTATTGAAATATTCGTCAACGAATTTACTAATTTTTTTAATTGTTAACTGGAATATAGAGATTCTATAACATGACTGTAGCTGATAGAGTGACCCACTTAGAGCAGTAATTATGCCAAGATGGAAAGTGGAAAAGTCTTAGTTTCCCCTGATTTGATTTAATTAAAAAGTCTCCTTTAATAATAACTGAACTCTGACATTGGAGAACTTCACCTCTGCATTTAACCCATCCCTTTGGGGAGCAGTGGGCTGCCATTGTGCTGCGCCCGGGGAGCAGTGTGGGATTCGAACCGGGTAGCTGCAACCTTCTCAGAGCACAAGCGCACTGCTCTAACCCACTCTCTTTGCTATCCGATTATTAAGCGAAAATACAATGGCCAGATTAACCTATAAATAAAGATACTGTTAAAAAAGCTTCGATGATAAGACAATTCTTTTTTTTTTTTTTTTTACAATAATTACAAATCCCCTTGCTTAGATTGATGCTCCTGTTAGTCCCCTGAGTCGATTATATCAACACTGACCAGTGATACAGGTGGGAAAGAGCGGCATGTCTTCTTCTTCTGGTGTTGGCAGTTGGCAAACAGCTTTAAGTTCCTTATCGCCACCAGTTGCCCGAGCCGTTCAGTGGGTCAAATTTAAAAAGCTTGTGCATTGAATTGGCACTCTGAATTAATTGCAATTATTTTTTTTATAAGTAATTGATTTTTGTTGGGATTAATTCATCTAATTAACACTTTAAACTGACAGCCCTTGTTTTTTGTTTACCTTAAACAACATTTTTAAATCTTTTCCTGAAGAAGAAAAAACAAAACATAGCTTTGTTTTGTTTCTTTTTAACTAGGGGATGAGTTTGCCTCCATCTTCCTGATTCGCCACTCCGCTCAGGTGAACGCGGCCACAGTGGGGGCCGTGGAAACCCCTCTGCATTTAGTCTGCTCCTTCAGTCCCAAGAAACACAGCGCAGAGACGATGAGCAGCATGGCGCGGATCGCAGAGGCTCTGCTCAAAGCCGGGGCCAACCCCAACATGCAGAACAGCAAAGGCAGGTGGGTCACATGATGCCAGCTTTGTGTCGGTTATTGGATCGTAAATTTAACTGCAGTGCAAAGTGTGACGGTTCTTTTTCCTGCACGAAGGACTCCGCTGCATGAGGCCGTGGCGTCGGGGAACGAGGCGGTGTTCAACCAGCTGCTGCAGTGCAAACAGTGAGTTTCTCCCTGGATCACCAGAGGTCCTCATGTTCATCTCTCTACTGCTGACTGAAAAATCAAACCGTTTGAATCATTTGGACACAACACAAATTTTTACATATTTGTTGATATTTAAACAACATAAAAAACAAGTGTAAAAAAACAGCAGAACAGCTTATATCTCTACTTAAAATAATTAACTTTCTGAAGATATAAACGTAAGGTCACCAGTTGGTTCTTAAAACATCTTTAGACAAACCCTAAAGACTTGTTTTGACTTAGAAAACATGCAAATTGAACTGGTTTGGAATTACATTTTTTTTTTTGTTTTTTTTTATTAACCTATAGGTATGAACCAAACATTTATCACAATGATCAGCCCAATTCAAATCAAATGAACTGATTAACCCACTCACCATAACACAGGACAGCTGCAACCAATTCTGATTTTGAACTTTCTTGTCTGTTTTAAAAGTGGTTTTAAAAACGCTCCTCATCTATACCCTAACAGCTGCCATTTAGCTAGCTAACAGCTGTTTCTGTGTGCAGCAAACTAGCATGCTCTTTCTACCGTAATAACAGTCTGTCATTCATAAAATGGGAAGGTCTGGGACATTTCCTGGGACAGCTTTAGCTGGGGACAGGTGGTCCAAACTTGGACTGTCCCTGGAAATCGGGGACGTTTTGTCATCGTAGCTAATGCTATTGATAGCGTGCCACCCTCCTGTCTCCCTTCCACCAGTCAGACTCACCTCCAGGCTGTCACTCAGTGCTGCTGCCTCTGTAACTTTTCATCTATTTTTTAAGTGAGAAGGAGATGTTAGTACATTAACCATAGGTGCTAATGGCTACATAGCCAATGTTGCTAACGCTACATCCTCTTTAATGCATGTACACACTATTCAAATTCTCAGCCATAGGATCGAGATGAAAAACTTTTTCAAATGAGCTTTACATTTTTATTCTCTTATAACTAATCAAACATGAATTGAAAGTTGTTTTGAAAATTATAATTTGTTTAATACCAGGTTATGACTTCTTTAAACTTTGGGTTCACAAACTTTCAACCTGTCACCCCAAAAATAACAGCTGCAGACTTCGCTCTGGTCTGATTTTTAGCTACTTTTTACTCTTTAGTGGAACATATGCCTTTATTCTAGGACCAGTACCTATTTTTGGTTGTCGAGGGCCTATAAGTCCCTGTGACTGGCTGGATCAGGTCCACGGGTCCTTGACTTGGACACATATTACCCTTAGTGACCTAGGGAAGCCTTAGCCAAAACGCTAAAACATGATTTGTACATCTTACTCCAAAATTGGATCAAATCTGTCGTGTCTTGTTTCTAACGCTTCCTACCTTGTCGTACCATCAGCCTGTTTTGTCCTGTGCTGTAGCAGAATCTATAGCAGACTTTCTACTCTCTCTTCATCTCCATTTCTAATACATTTTCATATAATCATACAAAATGTTTTAAATGTTCTCCTAGTACTGCTTATAGAGGGCTGTTCTGGTATTTCTGGTATGAACGCCAGCCTTCAGGAATCGCTGTGGCTGATGGTTGTTTCTTTCTGTTTATGCCAAAGCTTGTAATGATGATCCCAAACATAAAGACTAATTCAAAGCTGCCACTTTTCAGGAAGATCTATGTGCTAAACCCCTTTCACTGTAGCTGCTGTCTACTAAACAGTAAACCATAATCCAGTGTTTGTGGTGTTGAATATCTGTTTATTCCATGAACAGGCAGTTATTAAACAGCAATTATCCCAAGCCAGGTCTGTCTGCTTTGAACCTTTTTCCTGTTTTTAAAAACTGGAATATATGTAAAAAATAGTTTAATTTTGGTATACATACAGCCTCAGAAGCCGCCACAATGCAGTGGAGCCCTTCTGCTGGTGTGCTGGTGAAGATTCTCAGTCATCCAGGTCATAGTTGTTCCAAAACAAATTAAACAATCCACTGGACTTTGTTTCCAAGTTTGAAGACGTTTTGCTTTCCATTCAGGAAGCTTTCTCAATTCAAAATGTCAGGAATAGCTTTGTGTTGCTTTATTCAGTAGCCCAACAAAGCTTTGTTTTTGCTTAGACAACATGCAAATTGAAACGTACGAAAGGATCCATCTAAATGGGGGTCGTTTAGACTTAGACAGATTTAGATTCATTTTGTGTATAAAAAAAAAAAACTCATTTAAAACAGCTCTAGACAATTTCATTGTTTAAAGTGCAGCCTTGAACAAGTTGAAAAAGTTTGGTTTCTTTGTTAGCCTGCAATGCCCCATACCTGTCTCTGAAAGGGGGGTCGTTAGAGGGAATTGTTGGCCTGGCTGAATGGGTGAGGTCGTCTTTTCCCCTGTGAGGGGGTTGGGGTTGCGATGATGGCGAGAAGGGATTAACTCAGTTGCTGTATTGTTGGCGGTTTGCTCAGGGCCGCAGTCCTGCTGGAAAAGTGTCGCAGATTCTGCCTCCAGTGTCCCCTAACCCCACTAAAGACGGGTACCATGGGTTCAGATTATGTGTTCAGGGTTTTTTAAAGGTTAAGGAGGTAAAGCGGAGACAAAAGTTTGTCAATCTTAAAGCCTACAGACATGTACATTTTCACTCAGACAGACTGGCAGCCTATATTTGGCAGAAGGATGAAGGTCCAAGATGTATAATTTCCTAGCTGACATACTAGGTGGTCAAAGCATCAAAAGGCGTCTATAACGTCTCGAAGTGTGTCATAGTCAGACGCACTTCGAGAGCCTTTTTGGGTTTTTTTTATGTGCTGTTGAGTTTATTCAGAAACTTCTGTTCTTTACTGGTGTCTTGTCTACAATGGCAGAAGCAATAAAGTGAGTGGCTTTGCTTTATTTTCTGTAATGAGTTGTGGACAAAGGGAGGTTTAAGATGAAATGATCATTAATACATGCAGTCAGTTCATCAGCATAATAATCCTAAATATCCTGTAGCCATAGACCCCCTTAGTAATTCAGCCATGGCTCCCTGAAGCCAAACAGGCTTTGAAGGTTTTCCCACCGCTGTTATTAGCGGCTGGAAGTGAATATAAGCATTTTCGGGAGGTTAAAAAGTGCAAAAATCATAATATAAAATAATATTTAGATATATTATTCAGGTATTTATAAACTGTTTCAGTTTGGTAACAAAATACTTTGGAGTGATCAGAACATCCTCACTTTTCTTTCTACATGATAAAAACATCCTCCAGGCTTTTTATGAAACCTAGTGAAATGTAAAACCTTAAAAGGAGAAGTCCGGTCAGCAGGGAATAATCAATAGATCATCTATACCTAAAACTGATAGGTTCGCTGTGATTAATCAGTAAAGAAAATCATTTCGTATAGCGTGTTGTGACAAACACCACATACAGCACTGGGACTTGATCAACAGCCAATACCGCACCGTGACGTTACAAACCAGTAGGTGGCAGTAGTGTTCTTTGACAGTCATCGATGTCTGCAGTAAAGCACATTCAAATTAAAATTACACTTAATTATAACACATAATGTTATATATAAAGTACTTTCAAAAGTTTGAATTCTGAATATGACCGGACTTCTTCTCCTTTAAATATTTTCTTGTGTATCTATGCTGACAGCTAAACAGGAGCAGAGATCACGGCTTGGTTGCACTGACAGTGCAACCCAGCCCAGACCAGCTTCTCTGATTAGTTGATGCTGTGATTTGTTAAATTTTTTCCAATTTGAATGTCTGACGCTTTAGACCTGTTTGATGTCCATCAATGCTTGGAAGCTCAAAATTCTTCCAATGAGTCGTCAGACATCCGAAACGCTCCGCAGGACGTCTCCGTGCCCCATGATGCGTGTCCACCATAGACTTTGCATGGTAACTGTCTGCCTCTTTGGTGTGAACGCAGCTTTATGCTTGGAACACGCCGCATGCAACAGCCTCCTACTTCAGTTCTGGGACCTGTTTGAAAGTCATAAGCTTTGGAACGCTGCTGCTTTACACTTGTGACAAAATGTGAAGGATTACAGAGGGATGTGAATATTTTTCCGATTCTTCCAGGTTTTCTGACTTATTTTATCCCCATCTTGACAGACTTGACCTGGAACTGAAAGACCATGAGGGCAGCACAGCTCTGTGGCTGGGTCTGCAGCACATCACCATGTCCTCAGACCTCTCTGTGAACCCATTCGAGGACGACGCCCCGGTCTTAAACGGGACCTCATTCAATGAGAACGGCTTCGCAGCTCAGCTCATCAAGAGAGGAAGTAATCCTGACGCACCCGACGCTGCCACAGGTATCGATCAGTTGTTTTATTTTCCAGCAAGATGTGGTCAGAAGGTTCTCAGTCTCACGTGTTGCCTTCCTTACAGGAAACTGTCTTATGCAAAGAGCAGCTCGCGCCGGCAATGAGGCTGCGGCTCTTTTCTTAGCAACCCATGGGGCAAAGGTCAACCACATCAATAAATGGGTACGTGCTGTCGGATCCGTCTTCCTTATGGGTTCAGTCATTAGAAAATGGTTCTCGGCATTCAGACTGATTCTCGTATGTTCAGCTGGATGAAAGGTGCTGATTCTGTGTGCCTTCCTACAGGGAGAGAGCCCGCTTCACACGGCATGTCGCTCGGGCCTGGCAGGCCTGACTGCCGAGCTGCTCCAGCAAGGTGCCAACCCTAACCTGCAGACCCAGAAGGCTCTGCCTGAGGACGGCCAGGGCGTGGCTCTGCAGACGCCACTCCACATGGCCATCGCCCACAACCACCCAGACGTCGTCTCTGTCATTTTGGAACAAAAAGGTAGGCCAAGCTTTATTTGACAGCTGGGATAAATAGTTTCTACTCGGATGATTTGAACATCCTGATATCTAACCTGTCCTAAATGACTTGTTCTGGTTTGCAGCTAATGCACTTCACGCAACCAACAACCTCCAGATCATTCCAGACTTCAGTCTAAAAGACTCCATGGACCAGACGGTTCTGGGTCTGGCTCTCTGGACGGGTACTTCATGATCCATTTAACAGCAGGGTTTGTTCTGGGGTTTGTTTTCTGACTGATTCAATCGCACCCTGCCAGGTATGCACACTATTGCGGCCCAGCTGCTGGGTTCTGGGGCCTCGATCAATGACACTATGTCCAACGGACAAACTCTGCTCCACATGGCCATCCAAAGACAGGACAGCAAGAGCGCCCTCTTTCTCCTGGAACATCAGGCAGACATCAATGTCAGGTAAGATCTACCAAGTTAATCCCCCGCTTCAGGTCAATGAAGCATGTTTAAAAACTGTTTCAGGTTCTGACGATAAATACTGAATATATGGTAGTTTACCTTAAATTAGAATTTTAATCAGGCACAGCTTTGACAGCCCACCTGCAGCTCTTCAGGTTCTCTCCACAACCTCCCCCAATCACGTTAGACCAACACGTGAGACAGAAGCTAGTCCTGCAGTTAAATCTCAAAGCATTTCAGATGCCTCGTTGAAAAATTAGGAAGGTGGACTTTATAGTGAATTATATTTTTAAGATGTATTCGTTGTGTTATTTGAAAATATACTTTAACTAAGAAAAGCACCAGAAAGCTTAATATGATGCTTGGTAGTTTTTATTCTTTCTCATTGATCCATAGGTTTGTGCACAGACCCCTTAAAGGGAATGAGTCTAGGGCCGTTTCTCAATATGTATACTTGTGCGTTTTCATGTGCTTGTGAAACATTGGCCTCAGTCCTAGTACTGCTCCATTTCACAAGAACAGCAGACCGAGAACGGACAAAATCCCCGGATGTTGTTCTCGCCCCTCCCTATTTACCCAGCATGCATCAGAGCAGACTTGTCCGTTCTTGAGATTGACTTGTCCGTTCTTGAGATTACTGCACTAGTGCTGCATGCACTGCAGCAGCAGCTGCTTCCAGGGAAGCGCTCACAGAGCTCAGAGTATTAAGTTAAAGGTTTTCTTTTCTGTAGCTGTTGTTCTTTATAAATATGTTTTAAGATCATTTGAGGCTCATTATACTTTTAAGGGTCACTATATGGTCCATTTACCGATTAAAGTGCGTAATTTGAAAAAAATGTCCAAAGTTCAAAGGACCGCGGCAGCTAGCGGACCTCTGAGGCTAACCTCAGCCAGGGCTAACATTAGCCTGTCTGCAGCAGCCCTCTATCTGCATTGCCGTATGTGAAGAACCGCTGGCTATGATGGCGATTTCTATTTGTTTAGTTTTATTTGGCAAAATGTTCATTTAATTTGTGTTTATCTGACTTTAATTATTATTCCGCCACTAGATGAGAAAAGTAAGATTTATTATTATCTAGATGCTATTAATAACATGAGGGGAAATGCAGCTCCAGACGCGCAGTGTGTGGTGATGTCATCAGTACGTTTCTGTTCCAATTGATCCATATTTATGCTGCGTGCTCCCGGTCTCCCAGAGTCTATACTTTCCTGTGTTCTTCTCAAGAACATACTTGGAGAGGACATGAGTGCTTAACTTGTGAATTGAGAAACGGCCTAAGTGTCGGACTTTCCTGAAATCAATCTGAATACCTCCATGTTAAAAGATGTCGTTGACCGCAAGCTGTGATCCGGCTCAGTTTAGGTGTCATGTCTGCGTTCATACGATTCATCCAGCAGCATCTTTTCTACTTCCAGAACACAAGAGGGACAAACGGCACTACAGCTGGCCATCAGCAACCAGCTGCCGCTCGTGGTGGACGCCATCTGCACCAGAGGGGCTGACATGACGATTCCAGATGAAAAAGGGGATCCTCCGTTATGGCTGGCTCTGGAGAATGGCCTGGAAGATATTGCATCCACGCTGGTAAGAGAAGAAAACATGACGCTGCAGGACAGGTGTTACTGTGACAAGTTAGAATGGTCGAACAATCGGCTGGGTTTTGTTAGAATACATTTCTCAGCTGATTTATACTTTGCTAACCCTCAGTTGTTGTAAAGATTAAACCAGATTTTTCATTTTTATCTGCTGTAAAAGAATTTGTAATAACATTTGTAATAGTTTTGGAGGCTCTGCTGCATGAGTCTAAACAATATCATTTACGGAAATAAAAAAACATCCCGGAGCAGAAGTTAAGTTTAAACTGTAAAAGATATTTTTTTCATTTGATAAAAAAGCTTCTGAATCTGTAAATATGCTCCATTCAGATCTTCTCCAGGAGTGAAGTTTTAGCTTCAGTGGGTTCAGATGCTCTTAGCTGGGGGTCAGCAAGCCACGGCTCTGGAGCTGCATGTGGCTCTTTATCGTCCGCCTTGCAGCTCCCTGGAGCTTTTTCAAAATGTATGAAAATCTTTTTTTAATATGAAAATAATTATGTTTTCCAGTGCTGTAAACATTTTTATAATACCGTAAATTTTCGGACTATAAGCCGTGACTTTTTCCCCATTTTTCAACCTTGCGGCTGATATAACAATGCGGCTTATCTATGGACCTTTACAGCTAACAGCCACTAGAGTAATACCTAAATCTATGGATTTTACCATCCACCATGTTGACGTCACATTTGCTTCAACACACAAGTATGGTAGCCCTTGGCGGGGGAATGCGGAGGTCCTCTGGGAGCAGACTTCTTCCGCGAGTAGTACGAGACAGAACGACAGCGAGAAAGACTGACATTAAACATAAAAAACCTGCGGCTTATAGTCCGGTGCGGCTTGTATATGTACAAATCATGCAAATTAGCTTCTGCGGCTTATATTCACGTACGGCTAATAGTCCAAAAATTATGGTAAATAAATTTAAACAATAATTTGCGTCAAAGCCATAGAGATCAGTGGTCATAACTTGCGACCAGCGTGGCACGCTGCCAGGTAAACAAAGCTGCAGGTGTGTCTCGGCCCATGGATTCCAGAGGAAAAATAGGAAGATAGCTGATGAGAAAAGAGGATTCAAAGAAAAGATCAAATCATTGTCATTATCAATGCAAAAGGATTGCCAGCATTTTTGCTTTGTAATGAGAGGTTGTCAAAAAATAAAAATAAACATTTGGAAAGGCATTTCCAGGGAAGGCAAGCTAAATATGCAGCTGAAACACCAAGCTGGGAGGGAGAGAAAAACTGCGATTGCAGAACTTCTGGACAGATTATAGGAGAGCAAAGATGGATTTAAGAAGTGGATTGCATCTCCAAACTCCACTACTGCTGCTAGTTTTGTTGCAAGGATGGAAAACCATCCACAGATCTAACAGGTAGCGCTCTGATGCAGGGATGTTAACTTTCTTCCATTTCCCCCCCCCTCAAATCCTAAAAATATCTATCACACCAAGGAACCATGGTGATGGACGATGTGGGATTTCAGGGTTAGAGAGCTCTGCTCTGATGGATGTCAGCTCCTGCTTGGTTCCTCATGACTCAATCATCTCCTCCCAACAGAAACACGTCCACCATAGAAAGATTCCTTTATCGTGTTTCTATAATTTCATCAATGCAACAAACTTAAACCACACGGTGAAGGGCGGTGAAGCGGAGCGCGATGGGAGCGTTCACTGCTCCTCCCTCACCTCATACTGCTATGTGACATTTGCTTCAGGATAAACCTTTAATAATGAATGATTATTATATATTTAAGCCCACATGGTCCTTTTCTATAGTAGGATAATACACTTAGAGCCCGTGTTGCCATACGAGGCATATATAAGAGTTTTACATTTTTGTGGCTCCAGACAGATTTATTTTTTGTTTTTTTGGTCCAATATGGCTCTTTGCTTAGAGCAGGTGCTGGCAACCCAAACTGATCAATCTCCTAAAAAGCACTATTTGCAACTGCTTTTTATTTGTGGAAAAAAAAAGAAAACAGGTTAGGATGAATTGTTAAAATAACAATTAGTTGAAGACTTAAAGGTGCTGTAGGAGATCTTGGAAAAAACGGTTCCAGCATATTCCAGCTATATTTTTGAACATACACAACCATGCCTCTCCCTTCAGAGCACCCCTCGAAATCACACCTTTAAAACACATGAATGTGATCACTCATATGATCACATATGATCACTCCTCTGAAACAGTTTATTAACGCCTAAATTAACTTAAAATACCTAAATCTGCCAGCAAAACTTGTTCATTTTTATTATCCTGATGCCTGAAGTTTGGATTACTTACATGAAAAAAGCCTTCCAGCCGCTGCGGCAAGGAGGCGACCGGGCCAGAGGCTGCTGGTGAATGGGATTCCTAGTGACAGGACACCGCTGGTGTACGGAGGTCTGAGCGGCTCCAACAGAAGTTGGATGGCAGGATGGTAATCTGGATGAACTGACTGCACCGACGATGTTTCCAGACCTTCTATTTCACTGCTCGCTAAGCGGCTGTGGGGAGATCTTTAAGCCANCGCGCCCTATAGTCCGGTGCGCCTTATGTGTGTGTTAAATACAGAAATGGGACACATAACTGAGAGTGCGCCTTTTAGTACGGTGCGCCTTATGGTCGTGAAAATACGGTAAATCTATGGATTTTACCATCAACCATGTTGACGTCACATTTGCTTCAACACACAAGTATGGTGGCCCTTGGCGGGGGAATGCAGAGGTCCTCTGGGAGCAGACTTCTTCCGCGAGTAGTACGAGACAGAACGACAGCAAGAAAGACGGACATTAAACATAAAAAACCTGCGGCTTATAGTCCGGTGCGTCTTGTATATGTACAAATCATGCAATTTAGCTTCTGCGGCTTATATTCAGGTATGGCTAATAGTCCAAAAATTATGGTAAATAAATTTAAACAATAATTTGCATCATAGCCATAGAGATCAGTGGTCATAACTTGCAACCAGCGTGGCACGCTGCCAGGTAAACAAAGCTGCAGGTGTGTCTCGGACCATGGATTCCAGAGGAAAAATAGGAAGATAGCTGATGAGAAAAGAGGATTCAAAGAAAAGATCAAATCATTGTCATTATCAATGCAAAAGGATTGCCCGCATTTTTGCTTTGTAATGAGAGGTTGTCAAAAAATAAAAATAAACATTTGGAAAGGCATTTCCAGGGAAGGCAAGCTAAATATGCAGCTGAAACACCAAGCTGGGAGGGAGAGAAAAACTGCGATTGCAGAACTTCTGGACAGATTATAGGAGAGCAAAGATGGATTTAAGAAGTGGATTGCATCTCCAAACTCCACTACTGCTGCTAGTTTTGTTGCAAGGATGGAAAACCATCCACAGATCTAACAGGTAGCGCTCTGATGCAGGGATGTTAACTTTCTTCCATTTCCCCCCCCCTCAAATCCTAAAAATATCTATCACACCAAGGAACCATGGTGATGGACGATGTGGGATTTCAGGGTTAGAGAGCTCTGCTCTGATGGATGTCAGCTCCTGCTTGGTTCCTCATGACTCAATCATCTCCTCCCAACAGAAACACGTCCACCATAGAAAGATTCCTTTATCGTGTTTCTATAATTTCATCAATGCAACAAACTTAAACCACACGGTGAAGGGCGGTGAAGCGGAGCGCGATGGGAGCGTTCACTGCTCCTCCCTCACCTCATACTGCTATGTGACATTTGCTTCAGGATAAACCTTTAATAATGAATGATTATTATATATTTAAGCCCACATGGTCCTTTTCTATAGTAGGATAATACACTTAGAGCCCGTGTTGCCATACGAGGCATATATAAGAGTTTTACATTTTTGTGGCTCCAGACAGATTTATTTTTTGTTTTTTTGGTCCAATATGGCTCTTTGCTTAGAGCAGGTGCTGGCAACCCAAACTGATCAATCTCCTAAAAAGCACTATTTGCAACTGCTTTTTATTTGTGGAAAAAAAAAGAAAACAGGTTAGGATGAATTGTTAAAATAACAATTAGTTGAAGACTTAAAGGTGCTGTAGGAGATCTTGGAAAAAACGGTTCCAGCATATTCCAGCTATATTTTTGAACATACACAACCATGCCTCTCCCTTCAGAGCACCCCTCGAAATCACACCTTTAAAACACATGAATGTGATCACTCATATGATCACATATGATCACTCCTCTGAAACAGTTTATTAACGCCTAAATTAACTTAAAATACCTAAATCTGCCAGCAAAACTTGTTCATTTTTATTATCCTGATGCCTGAAGTTTGGATTACTTACATGAAAAAAGCCTTCCAGCCGCTGCGGCAAGGAGGCGACCGGGCCAGAGGCTGCTGGTGAATGGGATTCCTAGTGACAGGACACCGCTGGTGTACGGAGGTCTGAGCGGCTCCAACAGAATTTGGATGGCAGGATGGTAATCTGGATGAACTGACTGCACCGACGATGTTTCCAGACCTTCTATTTCACTGCTCGCTAAGCGGCTGTGGGGAGATCTTTAAGCCAGATGGTAAAAAATGCGTCAGAAAAGCTCTCCTGCAACTTTAAACTTTACAAATGTGTCTGAAGCGGTATTTTCCTGCGTCCAAACTGCAGGCAAACGTGCATCACATGTGACTTTTCATAGTCTAAACAGTTGAGCTCTGATCTTTTCACCCCCTTAAAAAAAAAAAAAAAATCAGATTTAAGCCACTTCCATATGTGGCACTAAATCAGATACGTTCATTTACAAAGCATCTACAGTGAGATGCGTCATCCTTTTCCATCACTGCCGGGTCTCTCCACACATCAACAGGCATTTCAGCATCAAAAATCAGCTTCTGGAGGTCATAAAATATGTTCCAGCCGGAGCAACAAATCACTACCTTCTAGCTCTGCCCCTACAAATGGAGAGTTCTTGCAGCAGAGAAAAATCACATAATTTTTTTTTTTAGCGTGCAGTCACTTAATCAGACTGAGAATCTTCTAGCCATGTTCACCATCAGTTTTCTCTTTGGAATCTTTTCACTAAAGGGTCACAGAACCACTGTTGTCTTTGCTTGAAACTTCTTAAACATGCAAATCAGGAAAAAAAATGTTCTGTGTTTTTCTGTGATGCCCTGCAGGTACGTCATGGCTGCGATGCCACCTGTTGGAGTCAGGGTCCCTCTGGCTGCATGCAGACGCTCCTGCACCGAGCCGTGGACGAGAACAATGAGGTCTCTGCTTGCTTCCTCATCCGCAGGTTTGCTACACATCAAGACACACGTTGTCCTAATCAGGAACACTCCTGTTATTTTTAATGAAGCAATGAAGCATCATCTCCAGGGTTGGACAAGTTACTTTTAAGTTATTCAATTACTTTTTTAAGTAACTTGTAACTATAACCCATAAGTAATGTTATGATCTAAAGATTCAAAGAACTGAGAAATGTTCATATTATTTTAAATACAACCTGAGGTTCAGTGATGGAATATAAAGTGTTATGGATTAATAAATTATTAATTCAAAGGTCCACACATCTGAAAACACTGAAAATTTAATCTGCAATGTTTTGGAGACAATGTTGCATTATAATATAATAAAAATAATAATAATAATAATAATAATAATAATAATAATAATAATAATAATAATAATGGTTGTTGGTTAAAACTAAACAAAAAAAATATTATTTTATATTTCTATTTTGCACATCAACTGCATGTAAATGGCTTTAAAATAAATATGAAGCTGGAAAATAATGATTTTCAAGAAGTTCAACAAAAATAAAATATATACTTTCCAATGGAATTAAAGCAGTGTTGTTTTTGACAGACATCTTAGATTTAGTCTCTGTTTTCGTCTTCAGGATGAAAACTGGTTTTAGTCCCATTTTAATTATTACTACATGTGATAGTTTTAGTCAGCTTTATGCAGTGTTGTTTTTGTCAACGATGAGGATGACGAAATAATTTCGTTGACGCTCCTTTTTTTTTTTTCATGACGATAACAAAAATAGACGAGCTAAACGTGGATCTTTGATGACTTAAAACATGACTAGTTATGGGTTTGAGTTTTCGTCGACGAGACTAAATAGAAAGTTGCAGGTAGTTGGTCAGACGTTTTAACTGCATCATTGTGCTGTAATCAGCTAAGCAGTATCAGCCGTGCAGCTGCGTCCTGTTTGATCCTGCAGCACAGCGTTGCACATGCTGTGGGAGCACAGATGGATCATGGCAGCAGCGGCAGGTCTGAGAAAATAATCCAGAATGGTCTGGTACTGTGCGCTCTTCCCTCTGTGCTTGTGCAGAAATGCGTCTTTGCATGCGGAGCTCCGAGTCTGTGCTTTACACTTCACTCTAATGGTTCGCTCTCAGCAGTATGGCTCTTACATCGCTACTTAATAAACTATGTGGCTGATCATCCCCTGCCAAGCATAAAAAATCCCTTTGTCCAAGATCAAGATTTTATTTCTTCCAGCTCAGAAGAGATGATAAACATTCTTTAATTTCTACCAAAAGGAATCGCTAAATTATACCCAAAGCAAATATTTCATTGCATACCGTTTATTTTTGGAAAAAGAAACAGATGAAAAGGTACATGGAAACAAAAACAATTAGATAGAAATATGCAAAGATCTATCTATTGAAATATGATGTAAATGTTTCCTTGTATTGTCATTAAAACATTTTCTCTGTTTCCTATATGTCAACATTTTAGATAGCATATTCATTAAATGTAGGTCTGGTTTGCCATGGCATTTCAAGGCAATTATGTAGGTTCTCAGTTTATTTGTTTTTTAAATCAAAACCTGTAAATTTAAATCTACTTTGACCCCTGAGCAGCAGTGACTAAGGGGTAAATTCTCCGAAATGGAGCCAAAATGGCCAAAGTAGAAAGGAGAATATTTTTGTTATTTGCTTTTTTGGGGTAATAAAGATTTTATTGATCGGTGTGTAATGCATTATTCAGAGTGGAACAGGAATTGTTTGCTTTACGATGGAAATATTTTATGTCTAAAACCATTCCTTTAATGTACATTTTGTTAGCTTGTCTGTCCGCTATATTAAACAATATGATGTGTTGAACTAGATCTGCTATTTTCACAATTTTTGTGAGACACTTTTTTTTTTTTTTATATAAAGTAGGGCATTTATTCATAAAAAGGTTTATTTGAATTCTATAAATCAAAGTTTTCTGCCCAACAGCAATGATGAACTGCACAGCAGTATTCTATACCAGCTACTGTAGGATCTAGGCTAGAGCTGTCAATCTGGTAAACAATTTGGTTCATATTTGAAATTGTAAAGGTTAACTTTTTTTGCAACATTTTTCATCTTCCAGTCACAGCTTGAAGAGCAGAGTTAGTCAGAGTTGAGCGCGCAGTATCAGACAATTCTGGATTATTTTTACGCCTGCTGCTGCTTGCATGGTCCATCTGTGTTCATGCAGAATGTGCAGCGCTGCTAGGCAGGTGGCATCACGACCAAACACAGCAGCATGGCTGATACTGCTTAGTTTGTCTAACAGTTTGCAGCACAATGATGCATTTGAAATGTCTGACCACCCGCTAACATTTCTATTTGACCTCGTCCGGTTACCGAAAACTCACACCTGTGACTCGTCATGTTTAGCTCGTCAGTTCTCGTTATCCTCATTTTAAAAAAAAATAAAAAAATTTCGTCATCATTAATGGAAATGACACTGAATTAAACGCGGTCAGACTATTCCAGAAAAACATGAAAGGACTGTATGCTCCCAGGATTTTTTTGTGGAGAAAATGTAAACATGCAGGTAAAATCATTTTAGCCCTGAGAAGGTAGAGAACGTATGTTAATTAAAGGCAGCAGCTGTCTGTCAGTGACATGAGGGGCTTTTTTAATGAGAAAACCATTTAGCTATTTAGCCTTCAGTAGCGCTTTACTATAAGAACGCTGTCATAGAATATGGGGATCTGCGCCTTGATCTCTGCTGGGCCGTTGCATGCGCCACGAATGCCTCATACCAGCAAACTAGTCCTTTATCCATGGCAAGAAACTAATAATGAATCTGTAATGGCCAATGCGGCACTGAGTTTTACACACTAATTATTTACAGTTACTGGAAAAGTAATGCATTCACCGTAACACGTTAATAATGTCAGTAATAATGTCATAAGTCAGTCCCCAACATTGTCCGTGTCATAGAAGTGTCCAAAAGCTCAGAGGCCTGGGTAGTCTTTCATCCGTTCTGTGGGTGTGTGTGTTCAGTGGGTGTGATGTAAACAGCCCAAGGCGACCTGGTCCTAATGGGGAAGGAGACGAAGAAGCCAGAGATGGACAATCGCCCCTCCACCTGGCGAGCAGCTGGGGTCTGGAGGACGTGGTGCAGTGCCTTTTGGAGTTTGGAGCTAATGTCAATGCACAAGTGAGTTCAGTCTGGTCTTTGTGTTTATTTATGTTCCTGATATGTTTTGCTTTCCAGCAGAGCTGGTTGTGAATGTAGCTGCTCATGATGTTTTCTTTACTTTTCAGGATGCAGAGGGCAGAGCTCCCATCCACGCTGCTATTAGCAACCAGCACAACGTCATCATCCAGCTCCTCATTTCCCATCCAGACATTCGGCTCAACCTCCGCGATCGCCAAGGAATGACACCGTTTGCCTGCGCCATGACGCACAAAAACAACAAAGCTGCTGAAGCCATCCTAAAGCGGGAGCCAGGTGCTGCTGAGCAGGTAGCGCAGTAAAAAAAAGACGCCTCTGTAAAGCTCAACTGCACGAATCTTTCAACACTAAATGATCCCCATCTGCCCAGGTGGACAACAAAGGGAGGAACTTCCTCCACGTAGCTGTTCAAAACTCGGACATCGAAAGCGTCCTGTTCCTCATCAGCGTCCAAGCCAATGTCAACTCCAGAGTTCAGGACTCTGCCAAACTCACGCCTCTTCACCTGGCCGTGCAGACTGGCTCCGAGATCATCGTCCGCAACCTGGTACAACAAACCTTTATCTAAAGAATCACTTCAAATGTTTCTGGGATTTCTGACATTCACTTTATTTTCCATCCAGCTTCTTGCAGGAGCCAAAGTTAACGAGCTGACCAAGCACAGGCAGACGGCGCTGCACCTGGCTGCCCAGCAGGACCAGGCCACTATTTGCTCCGTACTGCTGGAGAATGGCATCGATTTTGCTGCTGAGGATGAAAATGGCAACAACGGTATGTCATTGATTAGAAAATGCAGCGCTTTTTGTTTTCTTCTTTTGCTCCAGAAAAATGTAACCTTTTATAGAAAACTTTTTCTGTCAACGTCACAGATGCATCAGATCGTTAGCTGGATGCAAAACAAACCGACAACTAGGGGGTGGCCAATATAAACCAGCACAGGGGCGGCTACACAAGGAGCTTAGATTAGCAGATTGTTTTGTTACTGGTTGCCAGATAATGGCTCTTTCTCAATGTGCGTTCTTGAGCGCTAGAACGAGAATGCATCAAATCCCCGGATGTTGTTCTCACCCCGCCCTCTTTACCCAGCATGCATCAGAGCAGACTTGTTCATTCTTGAGATTTACAGCTGTCCCAGCATGCACTGCGGCAGCAGCTTTCAATGGAGCGCTCCATTGAAAGTATGTATGTATGTATGAATGAATGAACATTTTGCATTTAAGATGAAAAAAGAAATACTTCATCTGCCAATATGCCATATCCAGATCTCCACAAGTGGAAAAGTTTGAGCTTCAAATGGTCATTCCAAAAAACAATCCACTGGACTTTGTTTCCAAGTTTTAGGACGTTTTGCTTCCCATCCAGGAAGCTTTTTAAATTCAAGATGTCAGGAATAGCGTTGAGTTCCAGGCTTTATGCAGTAGCCCAACAAAGCCTTGTTTTGGCTTAGAAAACATGCAGATTGAAACGGATGAACGGGTCCACCCCTTTGGAATGGGGGTTGTTTGGCCTCTTTTGTTAGCCTGCAGTACCCCATACCTGTCTATGTCTCTTAAAGGGGTCGTTAAAGGGAATTGCTGGCCTGGCTGAATAGGCAAGGTCTTCTGTTCCCCTGTAAAGGGGATGGGGCTGCGATCATAGCAGGAAGGGATTACCTCAGTTGCTGCATTGTAGGTTTTTGAAAGCTAAAAAACTTTGATTCCAAGTTTGAAGACACTTACTTTTTTGGAATGACTATGAGCTGGATGACTGAGAAACTTCACCCACAGTTTCACTTGGTGTAATTTCCATATGCAAAATAATTGTTAGTTGCAGCCCTGGTTGGAACCATCAGACCTGCTTTTACACACATTCTCAGTTTTGATGGGAATTAATAAATGGATCCATCCAGCTGCTAATGCATCTTATCATTGATGATTGTTTTGGATGTTTTTATGCCTTTTAAAAAATGAGTGTTTTTGTGTTTTCATTTTTGGGTGAACATGCCGTGTTGCATGGATCTAATTTTAAGGTTTTGCAACAACCAAACAATTTTGAAAGGAGGCGTTATTCTTGTCTTTGAAACCGATGCCATGCAGGAACCAGTCAGTCCAGTTTAACAGCAGCAGGTTGGAGTAAACAGGAATCACAGTCTAAGGTGGTGGAGGTTTGGGGCAGGGCAGCTTTACACTCCAGCTTATCCTCAAATGGCCCGTGTTTTCATTTGGTTCCAAATTATTTGAAGGGAATTATGTCGTTGAGAAACATGAATAAATGTAATTTTTTTGACTTAACCTTTAAATGAAAGTCTTATTTTTATCCTGTCAGGATTCTAATAGTCTTCCTTTTTTCTGCCCCCGTTTCTTCAGCTCTGCATCTGGCTGTGATGCAGGGCCGCCTTAACAATGTCAGAACCCTTCTCACAGAGTCCAACGTTGATGCCGAGGCCTTCAATCTCAGGTACGCCAACCCTCTCAGTTACATGTTTCACTAAAGCCAGGCATACATTGTAAGACTTTTTTTTTTTACCCTTTTTGGGCCGATTTTCCAGTCGTACGTGAATTTCAGCCTCATCGTGCCTCATGTAGTATACAGAGGGGCGATCAGCCTCTCACTACCACCTCCCCATCAGGAATCATAAGGTCTGGAGAAAATCAAACATGTTTTTGATTCAGTCGGCCATCTTAAGGTGGTTGTGGACAAATCCTGCTGTCGAAGCAGAGCTACGAGCCGATTTACCAGAACCTCGACTGCGCATGTGCAAACAAGGGAGTTCTTCTTCTTCTTCCAGATTGACGAGTCTGTTCAGAGCTGAGTCCGACATGATTTTTCAGACGTACATTGTGAGCAGGTGGATCACATCAGAGCATCGGGCTGCAGTGTGAGAACATGCATCGTAAGCTGTGAACTTTTAAACCGTGTGATTTCATCGTACAGTTTGAGCTGTAGCTGCGTGCAACGATATCGCACAGTGTATGCCTGGCTTAATGTGCAGAAAAACCACCATGACAGCAAAGAAATGGGAAATATTAAAGGAAAAAAAATCTCTGCTCAGGGGTCAGTCACCGATGCACGTGCTGGGCCATTATGGTAAAGAGAACGCGGCAGCCATCTTTGAGTTATTCCTGGAGTGTATGCCAGAATATCCTCTAGACAAGCCAGACGGAGACGGGAATGCTGGTACTGTTGTGTTAATTTTCATTTTTACTTTTCTGCACATGCTGCCTTTTGGTGTAAAAACAGTCTGTGATCATATCTGCTTCATCGCAGTTCTGCTTCTGGCCTACATGAAAGGGAACGCCAACCTGTGCCGCGCCATTGTGAGGGCCGGGGCCCGCCTGGGGGTCACAAACAATCAGGGCATCAATATTTTCAACTACCAAGTTGCAACAAAGCAGTTGCTTTTCCGCCTTCTAGGTGGGTTTTCATGCTTTTTTTTCCTCCTCTCATTCTGTTTTTTTCTTTCTTCGTGTAATTAAACATCCTTCTGGTTCAAAGATATGCTGTCCAAAGAGCCCCCTTGGTGTGATGGGTCCAACTGCTACGAATGCAACGCCAAGTTTGGCGTTACGACACGGAAACATCACTGGTTAGTCAGCCCACTTTTCTTCTTACGGTGGTTCGCAGGTTTCAGAACAACAAATGTTTCACAAACTCTGCTGCTTCTGTGTTTTTGATCAAAGTTTCTACAGTTTAATGAGAATCAAGCATGAGGCTGTAGAGATCCAGTTACAGATGAAACAATTGGATGATGCACATATTTATTTTAAAACATAAATACCCCCATTTTATATAACCAAATATATTATCCATAAATGGACCATGTTATTATTATTGTTATGAATACTATTATTCCAATTATTATGAAGAGTAGTAGTATTATTTGCACTGTGTTTCTGCCAGTGTTGGGCACGTTACTTTGAAAAAGTAATTAGTTATAGTTACTAGTTACTTCTCCCAAAAAGTAACTGAGTTACT